TCTCTGTGCTCACACTGATCCATAACAGAGGCCCCACCTTCACACGGACACAACAAACTCAGTCAGCATAACATCCTTTACATCGTCATATTTGTGTGCTGTTTAAATGTTGCAGAGGATGGACAAAGTCATCATTTAATTCTGGATGTCTTATAGCGTTGATGGATTTACAATAATCCCCACATTGCATGTAATTCCCCAAAATGTGTTTGATGCAAAAACATGCAAGCATCTGTTTCTTACACAGTCAGGATTTAACATGTGACCATTTCACAATTCAAATACTGTAAAATAAAAATGCGGGTAGATTTACTTTGGTGTTTATTTTTTTGTTCTTTGGTTATTTTTTCATTTTGCCCACATTATCTGATAAAGCGGTATAAGAACAACACACAGTGAAAAAGTCAGAACTTTTCAGAGACTAATTAAAACTCGGAAACCCGTCCTTTACAGAGCTACTGAGACTCTGCTGTGGATCTAAACTGTGGTCTGTGAAAAATACACCTGTACTGTCGACAGGTTTGATATTGAACTGTGTGTGCCAGAGGTGCACATCCAATCCTGATGAAAACCTCTGAATCCTGGTCTTGTCTTTAACTTCTTCCATAGAGATGACTTCCCTGTACCTTTAATAATAGGTTTTGACACACCAGTATAGAAATAAATAAAGATGCGGTTTCTGGGTTTTTTCTAAGGGTAGCTGCACAGACAGAGGTTACCCTCACTGATACTAATACAAATCCATTCACTGTGTCCTATAACATCTGATCAAGGCTTACTTGCTATAAAACAGACTAAGATGAGAACTAAGGGTGATAGAGCTTTTGCCACTGTGGCCCCTAGACTGTGGAACTCTCTCCCCCAAACCTTAAGAACTCTGGACTCAGTAGCTGTTTTTAAAAAACAACTCAAAACTCACCTTTTTAAAAAGCTTTTGGTTAATTTTTGCCTGTTTTATATTGTCTGTTTTACTTTTTTATGACTTTTTATCTTATGTGGAGCACTTTGTGACTCTGTCTAGAAAGGTGCTATATAAATAAAATTTTATATTTTATATTATTATTTTCCAGGTCGTTTCCAGGTTAAACATGTGGAACAAAAAGGCCTTCAGTGCATCCAAGTCTGTTATAAGACAACTCAACTCTGAGAATTTATTCTTAGAAAATAAGTTTAAGCTGCTCTAAAGTGTCAAACCAGTTCAGACATTCCCAGCATTTTTCACCACTGACTCAAACTCAGACTACAGTCCACAACAACCACCACCAAAATACACACCCCTGATTCTGAAATCAGTGTTCTCAGATTCAGATTCTTCACTGGATTAATACTGACGAGCCCACACAGCCAGTCAGCATTAGGAAGCACTCGTGCCGTACAGTGAGAGTGATCCACAGACGTGTTCACATTTCTCTGGAAGGATTCTCACCTGCTGAACTCACCTCAGGTCAGCTTCCAGGCACTTCACAGCTTCCTGTGTGGACAAAACATCAGGGGAGAAGCAGCTGCTTGTTCTCCTCGTCAGTCCTGGAGTCTGTGAGTGTTTGATCTTAACACAGTGTCACATGCTCATAACCTCAGAGAGACATCAGATGTCAAAACCAGTCTAACCTGTGAGGAAAGACCCGGTCAGTGTCAGAGAGCACACACATCAGATGATGTAAGTCAGTGGTCTCTCCAGCAGATGGAGCTAACTGATGATCTGATGAGTTTTGATGGAGCAGCAGCAGTTTGGATTCACAAGTAGAAATATTCTGCGGAAACAGCCAGTCAGCATCAGAGTAAAGTGACAGGTAGTCAGAGAGGGTGAGGACCACAGTCAACATTTCCTCTTCTTTACTTTCTCCAGTGTATGCTCCAGTGAGCATCTAGACTGGATTAAATACATTTTAGACATGAAGTTGAAAGATGCCATGGACTAACTCACCACTAGAGGTCTCTCTGTCTCCCTGTATGACTAACATGATGAGGGCCTCTAAAGTGTGAACCTCGCCCTGTGACAGACTGTCCAAGACGTCTGAGCTCCAGCGTTTGTGACTGAAAATCACAGGTTTTGATTGGGTGTTACTGAGCACTGATTAGCAGGCATGTATTGTTCTCTATAACCTAGAGAATATGGATTTGATCAACTGGTCCCTATGTTTTCATTTTGGCATACTGTATAAACACAACTGATCTAAAATCAGACAAAAAACATAGCAGAAAAAGTTATATTTTTTACTGTAACAATCACAAACTACACACTCCAAACACGCTAAATGTCACAAATCTCTCACATCTCAGAACTCGCTCTCTCTCTTTTTTCTGCTCTCTTTCTTTCTCTCTTTCTTTCTCTCTCACACACTCCTAAAACTTCCCCCTCTTCCTAAACAACCAAATGTCATGTTGCCATATCATTTTTTGATTGGTCGACGTGGTACATATTTCCACCAACACAAAAGGGGTATTTTTTGTTTTGTTTTGTTTTTTTTTATTTTTTGGTCATGAGCAGAGAGTGCTTGCTTGCTCTGTCCTTAGACAGTAAACGTGACGAAAGTATTCAGGAAAAAACACACACATATTGTTTATCATTGTTTATCTGGTTTTACGTGGCCTATCAACACAATTTAAAAGCTGGTATATAGCACCTTGTTGCTTTGTCATCTTGAAGTGGCAATCGTGGCTCAAGAGTTGGCCTTGTAATCGGAAGGTTGCTGGTTCAAGCCCCGGCTTGGACAGTCTCGGTCGTTGTGTTCTTGGGCGAGACACTTCCCCCGTTGCCTACTGGTGGTGGTCAGAGGGCCCGGTGGCGCCAGTGTCCGGCAGCCTCGCCTCTGTCAGTGCTCCCCAGGGTGGCTGTGGCTACAATGCAGCTTGCCATCACCAGTGTGTGAATGTGTGCGTGAATGGGTGGATGACCGGATGTGTAAAGCGCTTTGGGGTCCTTAGGGACTAGTAAAGCACTATATAAATACAGGCCATTTACCATGTGGTTGGTTTACCACGACTACTTTATTCTTCCTCAGCCAAACAGCAGCACTCATGCGATTGTTTTGCCCCCTAGCTCCAGGTGTTGTGCCAAAATGTGATTGCCACCCGCGAGAGTGCGCGCAGCTACTTAAAGCTGTAGCGCTCAGATTACTTACGTAGACAGCTAATTCCGTACAACTGATATAACGTGCGGTAAGCTGAACACAGCTTCAACCGTCTGTTTGTTGAAAAATAGTAACGCAACGGCACCACATTTTTTTGTTAGTGGCGGTAACGGCGTTGTAGCGATAGAAATAGTAATTAGTTAGGTTACTGAAAAAAGTAACACCATTAGTAACGCCATTACTTATAACGCCATTACTCCCATCATTGGGAGGGACGTTTCCTGCCGGATACACAATGGAAGAGTGGCAAAAGTGACAATTTGTGTGCCAGGCAGGACTGTCAATTGAGGACATATAAGATTTATACCTACAGGCAGTGGCGGTCCTAGCCTGTTTGGCGCCCTGGGTGAACACTCCCTGTGGAGCTCCTGATGGCTTTGAACTTTTCTTGTCCATCTTCCATTGGTTTTCATTTTGCACTCCAGTATGAACACCCATCCCCTAACGCGAGGTTGACCACAACATAACCTAATAAGCCTACACCTTAGTTCACAGATATGCATTGTCTAGGGTTTATTTCTGGGATTTCGCACAACCCAGGATTCAAATCATGACTACATAATGGATTTGGATTTACAACATTATGAATGAAATGTTCAAGTTCAAGTTCAAGTTCAAATTTTATTTGCCACATGCAGTGGCAGGTTGCCCTGCAGTGGAATGAAATGTGCTCTATTTGGAAGCAGCCACCCCCCCACCCCCCCGCCCCCCTCGTCTTTCAACAGGTTGTGTGTGAGACTTTAAATCATCAAACTGTAAAATCTAAATTTTAAATTGTTATTGATCCCTTGTGTATATTTTTTTCTTACTCTTCTTATATTTATTGTTTGTTTACTTGCATTGCTGTAACTGGAGCCCTGTCGTCTTGTCTCTCTATATACTGTACTGTATGTAGCGGAGATGACAATAAAGTGCAGGTGCACCAAGGGCTCTCGCGCTCACTTTTCGCATACAGAATTTAGAAAAAACATCAGTGCAAATTTTAAGTCTGTATCATTATGTCTGGTGTTTTCGTGTTTGTTGGTTTGTTTTTATTTTCTTTTATTTTGTGAGTTGGTTATTAAATGCTGCTCCAGCCAGCCAGAAAATCACCCGCAACCCCGCCCTCTCCTCCCTGTGCCGCAAGCAGCAGGCACACCTCGCAAACGAGGGCGCCCTTACTCCCTGCAAATGCGCGATAGACATTCCCAAAATGTGCTGGCTGACGTCGGGGCAGGATGAGTACGAGCAAATTATTATTATTTTTTGCCAATGCCCGTGATGCCGCCCCCCCACCACGATGCCGCCCCGGGCAACCGCCTGTGTTGCCCATATCAAAAACCGCTACTTCCTACAGGACTGTTTAATTTTGCTAAACCGGGTGAATGAAAACTCTCTCAGTTGAACACAGGAAACATATGCACATGCACACACACACACACACACACATATACAGACACTGACATACATTCCCCTCAAACTCCTACCAGGAGCTCAGTCCGAGTAGAGTTGTCTTCTCCTCCACCACCTACTGTGCTGTACATTGTTTTTCTTTACGGTACCTGTTCTGACCTGTCTCCCTGATGTGATGTTTGTGTAACATATGTATGGTCAGAAGAGGTCCAGTTTCGCTGCAGGCAACTGCAAGTGACAAATAAAGCTTCATCGTCATCATAAGCTAGCTGGCATTAGCTCATAGCTTAGTTCTCACTAAAATGGCAGCAGCCAAATGCTAACCCTGAGGCTTTTAAATGCATAATCTACACCTGCGTGCTGGCTTCAGTGTGCAGGTGTGACCATATAGCAGTGACTTCGTTTACCTCCACTACCTGTGACGTGCTGACTGGATTATGTTGGTGTAAATCTTGTGAATAAATAAATTAAGCCGAGCAGAATGAGACATCGGAACTTTAATTGATCTGGAAACGATGACACAGCATCAGCCAGCATGAAGCATCCACCGAATGGCTGCTGTTTCATAAAAAGTGCTTGAAGCTGGAACTTGAAGCCCTACGCTCACAGTAAGAACACTTTACTGACAGACTGGTTCCTCAAAATCTGCATCCTGGATGGAGACGTTCCCTGACACATCAAAGTTCAGGTTGTTCCAGTTGAGGAGGTTTCCCGGAGAGAAGGAGCCCTGATTCATGTAGGACCTGAGGTCGCACGCAGACACCACCCGGTCCCACATGTGCAGGTCGGTAATGTCACCTTCAAACGAGTCATTCCTGTCGAACCCACCTCCGTACGCATCCTGCTCCTGACCGACAATGATGCTCAGATCACCATTGACCAGATAGTTCTGTCCCACCAACTTCTGTGAGGTTCGAAGTCCGTTCAGCCACAGCTGGGTCAGCCCGGTCCGAGAGTCCCAGGTCCAACAGACCGAGTTCCAGTCCATCCTGTTTGTGGGTAGCTTTGTGAATATGTAGGTGTCGTCGCCCGCGTGGACCTTGTAGGACCCCTCAGCGTCTTTATTTAGCATCAGAGCATTTGAGTGGTCTCGGGTGGCCAAAGAGAAGAGTCCCTGCATCCGGTTCAGCTGGGAGAAGAAGCGAAGGCATACAGTCATGACAGTGATCAAGCGGGTGTTAGCACGAAGAGCAACGCGGGGCTGGTTTATGCCTTTGGGGTCGCTGGGAAATGTGAACTGTTTCCCCGACAGATCTGCAGGAAAAAAGACAAGGAGACAGGATGACCTCACAGAGCTCCTGGTTATCTAGAGCAGCTCTGTGATGAAAAAACTTGTGAGCTTTACCACTAAATTAAACGTAAAACAGCAGCAACAACAATAGCATAAATACATGAAAACAGTTCAGTGGGGGAAAAAAACAGCTCCACAAGCTGACACAAACAAAAGAATTCAAAAGAAACGAGAGAGTGGAATAAACTCAACAAGCAGAAGCTGTGAACTAATCAGATGTCTCTTAGAGCTGAAATCAGTCTGAACTCAGATCAGTGAAACTGAGACATGTTTTAAAGATCACGATCGAGGAGCATGATTTAATGATGTCACTCACGGTCATTTGGCCGTTTCTTACCTTGAACCTCACTCCTTCCGACAGTCCAGAGAAGGATGAAGAGCAGCATCGATGATGACTCCATGATGATGATGATGAGAAACAAGAGGTGTTTCAGTGTCTTTTACACCTGCTTAGAAAATAAAAGGCTCGTTTAAATGATGCAGTTACTGTTTTTACAGAGATATCACTGCTTCTCTGACAGCTGAAGAGTCAGTGCTTTATCCAATAACAAGGCGTAATTAACAATAACACACTGAATACTGCAGCAATGGTGTTTCTCTTTGTCCTTGTCTCCTTTGAACAAAAACAGTCTGACAGGAGAAATGATGATTCTCATTCTTATTCCTGTGTGGTTGTTTTGTTTCCAACCAACTAACCTTGTTTCATCTTCCAATCACAGCCAACCATACAAGTCTCCCATACTCAGCAACTTTTTCACTTTTTCTGGAGAAAGCAGAAGGGTGAGACTTCCTGTTTTTGTGATTTCTAAATGTTGGACTACTTTCCTGAAATGTTTGAGGAGTCAGCAGTTTTTGTGTTGTTTCTTCATATCTGTGCAGCACAATACAGGATGTTACAGGCCGATACTTTAAAGACAACCTCACAAACACATGAGGAAGAGCAGGCTGTCTATTGTGAGATTATTCTGTTATCATATGTTATCTTATATCTGTAATTGAAGTAGTTGAATTAGGATACTGCTGTAGGTCATATTATACTTCTTAGTATAGAGTGTGTGATCAGTATGTAGTTTTAGTTTGCATTATACTTCTGACTTAAAAGAGTGTGAAAAATCATTAGATCTATTGGATTGACCTGTATTATTCGACACTGTTGAATGTGTTACACTGTTTTCTTGACATTTCATACTGCTGAATCATGAAGAGAATTTTGTGTGCAGAGGACCTTGTACCGATAATAGAAGAGACAGACCACATTCCATACCCCCACCTTTACAGAGAGCAGAAAAATCAGGAGCCGAGGTCATAACTTAGGCGCCGTGTGAGAGAAAGAATGTGAATGTTTAGGCTTTTACGACTAGGTGGGGGCCACTAGAGGCTATAAGGAGCTGAGTAACCCGTCACCATTTTGAGATTTGCTGTGACCCTCTTCATGCATCTCTCCCCATCACGATGGCTTGTGCTCATAAGTGTTGAATTGTATGGGAATAAAGAATTGTTGATTGAGCATTTATACACCGAGTAGTGTCCTTCCTTCAGCCCAAAGATTAAAAGGATTGGGAGTTTTTAACACTATCAGTCAGTGCGTCGGTGGATCGACACTTACAGTAAACAGCTTTAGTGAAGGTTACAAATGATCTTCTTATTAGTGATGTGTCAGTCGCGAACGAAATGGCTCTTAGAGCCGGATCTTTGACGTGAACGACGCGAGCCGGCTCCTTATCGTGAGCCGTGGGGGTTTTTTTTTCTTTCTTTCTCTCACCCTCTCTCTCGCACTTTTTTTCCACTTCACTCCGCATGCGAGCCTTGTGCTTTGCGCTGGGAAGAGGGGGGAGGGGCGGTAGTTACACTCAGTAGCACAGGAACAGAGCAGGAGGGAGAGTGTCATGATCCAAGCAGCCAGGAACACACAGGCACAAATGTAATCTTCAAAAAAATGGGTTTTATTATACCCCCAAAAAGGACAAGATGATTACAAAAATTCAAAATAACAAAAAATAAAGTTTTTAAGAACCAAGTGGGCCCATAAAAGAGGTTAACTTAACAGAACGCTACTCAAAAGTCACTTAACAAAAACATAACTCAACAAACTGACCTGCCCAAATGAGAAACAGCTCCAGTTATACAGCAAATGAATAAACCATTATATACACCAAAGGTGAAAACTAAAGAGATAACAGCTAACCATCATTCAAGAAGAACCCCATTCCCCCTGCATGATCATAATAGATGGTCCAGTCCACTTTATTGGCTTCTGCATTTAAACCAGCTCCACCCTCAGCCTCCTCTTTCAGCCAAACCAGGAAGGACTGGAGCGGAGGTCAGGTAACTAAGTATCTCAGTTGTGTGGTTGCATGCATCCATCACAGAGAGACAGAGAAAGAGAGCCAGGGACAACAACGTCACATTAGAAAGGTATAGTAATCATCCACATCTATTTTCAGTTGCAGATGATAAAGGATTCAGAAAGTTTATTCATGCAGGCCCATATGACAGAGAATATGCATGTTCTTTTTGTTTTCATATTTTAATTTATATTTAATTGTGTTGTGGTTTGCAGTGTTTTGTGTTGTTTCATTTTAAATTAGTTTAAAAGGAAAAAGCTGAAAATTTAAACAGTTAAAAGTTGAAGTGTGAATAGTTGGTTTTTGTATTATATGATTTATTTATTACATTTTATGTGGAGTGAATAAATAAAAGTATATTTACGGTGGCCCCTGGAGACAAAGCACGTACAAACACATACAAACTCCAAAACACGTACAAAGTCCAAAGCACGTACAAACTCCAAAGCATGTAAAAACTCAAAAGCACATAAAAACTCAAAACACGTACAAAACACAACAGAAGTGCTCCAGGATGCTGGGCGCAGTGTTGAGCTTTTGTTACCTAGTGGCTACACAAGCCAGTACCAACGACCGGATTTGGTGTGTGGTAGTAACAGGTAAATGAACTTTTTTTTATTTTATTATTTGAATATATATGAGTGCTTGTGTGTAAATATACAAACAATACACATATGCTTTCATGCTTTCAATTGTGTAATTTAAGTGATCTAGGTAGCTGTTTTGGAAATTCCGTTAAAGCTAGAAATGTGTTTTGGAATTTGTACGTGCTTTGTGTCTAGGGGCCACCGCATATATTTATATATAAACATTAGGGGTGCAACAATACTCGTATCGATATTGAACTGTTCGATACAGTGCTTTCGGTTCGGTATGCATATGTATCGAACAATACAAAATTTATCATTTATTTTATCAACTTTCCTTCTGACGATGCTGTCTGTGTTGAGTGCTCAGTGGATCTGCGCTCGACAGTGCAGCCTAGGCGGAGTAGTCGAATGCAGATTCACTGAGCGCAGGGCAAGCTAGCGAGACAGAAGTTAAGCTCTCCTTGCAACATGGCAAACTGAACCTCCCCCACCCTAATTCAGATGTGGCATTTGGAACTATTTTGGTTTTCATGTGACGTATGACCCTGAAGGTAAGCGCGTCATGGACTAAAGTAAAACAGTATGTCGGATGTGCCACGCAATACTCAATTACATTGGTGGGAACTAGTGTGTTAGCGCAGTTAGCTCGTTAACGTGTTGGCCGTCCAGCCCCACACACGGGGCGATCCGCGGTAGCTCGTTAACGGAGATTTGCCGTGTTGTGGCATTAACGTCATTTCAACGAGATTAACGCTGCCAGCACTAGTGGGAACACAACGAATATGACTGCACATTTACTCCGACATCATCCTCGTGCAAAGACAA